AAACCAAGCTATGGTCATCAAGATCCATTCGAGCCTGGTACCCGTCGTTCAAATCTCCAGCTGCAATCTGCAAAGTTCGCCGGTAGCAGCAGCCATGGCATCCTGGTAGGCCTGTGTGGCCCGTTGAAGCTCAGCGCTCACACGCTCCAGCTGCATCCCATTGGCTTGTAGCACAATGCTCAGCCCATTCGCTCGGTTCGTCGAAGCAGCAACTGCAGCATGAAGTTCATCAACTTCCATGGTGAGTGCTTGAGAGCTCGCACTCAAGATCGCACGCTGTCGGCGCATTCCACCATACCAACCAAAATAAAAAGAAATCACACAAACCATGAGTATACAAAATTGATCCATGTTGATACCCAGGGGTATTTTGAATCTACCCAAATCAGTTTCGTCAGTTTCGATCACAAGGCCTTGAGCTGCAGGAATTGAAGACGCAGCAAGGCACAGCCAGAAAATGCTCGAGCACTGCAAAGCAAAACGTCGCACGGCCAGAGAGCCTGCTACAGCTGCAGTGGGAACCATGTTGACATACTTGAGCACGTTCGTGGAGTCCACAAAATAGGCTTCGCCCTCATTTGGTGGCTCATGCTGCACTGTCCACTGTTCCTCTTCATCTAGAATGCGCCTTTCAGACGCAGCCAGCTTCTTCTTCACATTTCGGCTCTTTGAAGAACTTTCAAATTCTAATTTGCGCTCAGCAACAGTCTTTTTCTTCGCGGCCACATAGTCAGGGTCATAGAGGAACGTCAGGCGACCATGCCGCAACCATTCGGCCAAGTTCTGGCGCATGCTGGCTTTCGTCAAGCCATCCGCCAACTGCCTGTCGCTGGAAACCCAACGAAGCGTCCCTCCAAGTGACTGGATCTGCTCTTTCACGACCCGAATTTCCAAACTGGATCTTCGGTCTGTAACATTTGAAACCAAAGCTTCGCGGTGATAGGAATCAAACACCGCTTTCGCGTCCGTGATCATCACGGGTTCCAAAGAAGACGTCATCTGCAAGAGTTGAGCCAGAGGGACCAGAGGATGGATGAGATGCTCGTAGTATCTGCAGGCAAACTCGGTTGCGTCAGATGCCACACCCGCAGCTTGAGCTTCTGCTGAGAGTGAACTCCGAGCTACTCTTGGAAGTTTTGAACTCCTCCAATCCAAGATGTCCAAAATGTGCCGCGGCGCCAAAAGAACAAAGTAACCACCCTGACTCGAACCATCAGGTCTGCTGCAGAAAGAACATCAAATACAGTGATCATCCGAAGGTTCGCGACAGGGCCCAATGGTGGGTATGAAAGTCCAACATCTGAGTTCTCTTTGGCAAACTTCAAAAGTCGGTTGGCATCCATAACGGCCTGTGCACGGCCAGTGGAAATACTTCCTGAAGGCATTGAAGTGCTCGCTTGCAGGTGCGGCGAAGACTGCACAGCAGGCCACTGAAGGCTTCCAAGCAGGCCTCTCAACTCAGTTAATTCACGTTGTGAAAGTTCATGGTCAGGCCCAACATGCTTGGGAAGTATCATTGGCTTGATCTTCTTTAGGTAGGCCTGGTGTCCAACACGTATGCCCTCTGCATCTTTGACAATGCTGGCACCGCAGCACTCAAGCGAGTCACCATCTTGCCACTCACGAAATGAAAACGTTTTGCGAAGCTCCTGAATCACACCTTGATATACCACTGACGTAGAATCGCCACAGCCCAACATATCATCCACATGCAAAATGATCATGCCAACCAGACCCTGCCCACCCAAAGAGTTGGAAGGTGAGTCTGAGCTACCAAATTTGTCCTTGAAGTCAGCCTCATAGATGAGGAAGGCACAAGGGTCAAGGGCATGCTGGCGAAGTCCAAGAGATTGGAGGCGTCGCACTGCCTCCAGGTACCACCTCCGTGGTGCATCCAGTTGCCCATAGCAAGGTTTCTGAAGCTTCATTCTGGCTTCCGGGGGTGCACCCAAAAGTCGAAGTGCATCTGCAGGCAATTTGATCCAAAGAAGGCATTCTTGAGGACAACCTTGAAGAAACGTAGTGCTGACATCAGCTGTCCACAAGAGCCAGCCCATATTGGAAGCAATGGAGAGCAATCAACACCTCGAAAGTCTAGAGGTCGTAGGACTGCTCGTCTCCAAGTTGCCATGAAGGGCATCCACATCAGCATAGCCACGAACAATCAAACGGGTTTTTGCTCGTGGGCTTCCATCAGGCTGCTTGCCCCAAGAAAGAAGCATTCACGCTGTCAGCGTTCTGGCAGGATCAGCATTTGCTTCAACATCAAATGTCCAAACATCATTCTCAAAGAAACTCTGGAGCTCCTTGCATTTGGCTTGCTGAAACTGAGCTCTTTCATCCACTGTAAGATTACGTTCCCGGACAACCTTCTTGGCCTGTTTCTTGGTCTGGCGGTTGATCTTGGTCTTGGTGTCCCGGGCAATCTTGCGGGCAGTCATGTTGGAAACCATGCAGAGCTCCTTGCGAATGATACCATTGAGCTGGTAAATGGTGCGTCCAACCCAGGAGTGCTGAGTAGAAAACTTGGAAGAGCCATCATCATTCTTGATGTTTACGCTGCCATCACCAAACTTCATCACCGTGACCCGAATTGGATCCAAGTGTTGTGGATTAACAGGGGTGTCCTTGTACTCCTGCACATCAATGGTGGAGTGCCGTGTGCTCACATGATGTCTAATGAGACACCCGGCTCGGACCTCCCAAAAGTCAGACACCCGGTCAGTGAGGCACGAGTAGCCATCAGAGTTCATGTGCCAGCCAGGAGGTAGTTGATCTGACCCAAGATCTTCCACTGCAAATGCTTGGGAGAAACCTTCCTGTGGTGGTAAATCAGCATCAGGAGGAAATTCAGGCGGCGGTGCAATTGGAGCAAAGGGATCATTCGATCGATGTCGAGAGTATGGTGAAGGGCGTTGAACCTGTCGAACAGCAGGACCAAACATCAACGTTTCCTGCTGATCATATCGAAGTCGCCGCTGAGAAAACTCCCCAGGCCTGCAGGTTCTTACAATAAGGCAGCTGTTTCGGCATCAAGTGCTGGTTGTGGCCCAAGAGACCTCGTGGAAGGAGGAATTGAAGGTTTTCCACTCGATTCTGGTTCATTTATTCCGTCCAAAGGAACTTCAGGGACTTCAGGAACTGCTGGAAGAGGTGGCGGTGCAGCCAAGGGAGTTGAAGCCATATCATCATCATCAACTGGTATGGGTTGTCCATCAGAGTCAGGAATTGGTGTCG